GTATAAAAAACTGATATTAGTAGAAAGAAGTTGAAAATAGCTGAAAATGCAATAAACAGCTAAATTGAATAAAACGAAGCTAAAGAAATCTGAAATAAGTACAAAGAAGTTAAAAGAAGCAGAACCAGAACAGAAGGTAAAAGGTACAGTAAAGATTAATAAACATTTTGAAGCGTGTTAAAGATGTTGAAGACAGCTCCATTTGCTTTAAATGAAAAAATAATGGCAGAAAAAACTAAATATCTCAAAAATTATAAACTGCTGAAATACATAAATAAGTCATAGCCRGAGTGTCCTGAGGGAGCTGAACGTTTTGATATATAAATTGGTAAAATAATACAAAAAAGACGTGCYGTAAAACGTACAGAAAAAAAGTGGATCTCTTAAAAGTCTACAAAAGCTGTTTGGGTTTGTAAACCCTGAGTAATGTCTGCAGGGATTCAGACCCTGTTTATCTTTTCTTTCTGGGCCATATCCTGTAATCTTCCACCTAAGGTCTGTGGGTTTGTGCAAAGTAGGGCTGCCACGATAAGTCGATTAATGGAAAAAAATAATMGGTGATAAATCGATTATAAAAATAATCGTTTGTGGCAGCCCTAGTGCAAAGTGGTAAACAATGCACAGTCAACATGGTGYACTCAGTCTGCTGTCAYGTWCTRCTGCAGTCCTCCTGTTRGACGTGGTTCTTTTTGTGTGCAGCYGATGCCTGAGTTAAGATGAGCCTTACAAGGTGAAACTCTGCTGTGTCTAATCTCAGGTCAGCAGTGGGAAGTATCCAGGTGTGGTGTGGGATGACGAGGCCAAAACCATGTTCCGCATCCCCTGGAAGCACGCTGGGAAGCACGACTTCCGCAAAGACGAGGATGCCGCTCTTTTTAAGGTGATGATGCTTTCTAAGCAGTGCACACTCAGAGCACGTCTTATCATCTTTGATAAAGCTCAACAGGAAGTGGTGTTTGTTTTGATAGAGTTGACCTTTGCTCAGTAAGCCTTCTGTAAAGCGTATTTATTATTATACTGTATGTAGCTCTTAATAAAGAACAGGAACCTGGTTGTTTTCAGCGGTGTAGCTGTACACAGAGCCTCTGTCCTGTTGGGCCGTGCGTTTGTTTTGTGATCGAACATCTCCCTCCCCTGCAGGCGTGGGCGGARTTTAAAGGGAAGCTGGCGGACGGCGGGCAGGACAACCCCGCCGCCTGGAAGACCCGTCTGCGCTGCGCCCTCAACAAGAGTCCTGAGTTCATGGAGGTGGAGGGCCGAGCCCAGCTGGACATCTCTGAGCCGTACAARGTGTACCGCCTCGTCCCCATCAACGAGCAGGGTGAGCCTCCACACAGCTGCTCTGGTTGGTTTACTTTTGTGACGTTTAGTTCTGTTTGCTGACCACCATCATCACCTCCAGTTAATAACTGATGTTCTGGTGGTGATGGATGACATCAGGTCAGTGCTATAAAAGTTATTAGGTAGTCATAAACACAAAAAACCATGCATACACTGACCATAATTCTTGTCATCTGTCTTTAAAAATGTAAAATGGGTCAGTTTTAAGAGACGACGCCCACTTTTAGCACAAACTGTTTTTTTTTTATTTGCTAGATTTGTGTGGGATCCTAATAAATCAGCTTCTAAGTGTCAGAGCTAACTTCTTGAGTATCARATTAAAAGTATAAAAGCTTTAGGTGTCACCTCACAAACTGCAGGAAACTTTGAACTGTATAATTAGCTTAATCTAACAACAGTTCTGCAGCATCCGTCTTTTTGTTTTAGTGTAGTTCTGCTATTTTATTGTATTTTTTTTTCCTTTTGTGCTTGTCACAGTTTGTGGTGCGGCCAGCTCAACAAATCAGTAAAATATCTCGGTGATGACGTGTGAAGCAGATGTTTTCTTATGTGAATGTTTTCACACTGAACTAACAAAGATGGATCAGAATCCTGGTTAAAYTGCATGTTGTCTCTGAGTTGTGGTTTAGATTTTTTATTTTTTATGYTTTGTTGTTATGTCAGCTGAGACAAAGAAATCCTGACCGTGTTGAACCTGTGCCCCAGATGAAGTCGACCTGGTTGGTAAATGTTCAGATCAGATGACTGACCTTTGATCCATTCAGACACTCAGCTTTATATTTAATGCATCAATGAAGAGTGTTAACCAGAGTCATTGCTCTCGAGTCAACGTTTCACCTCTAAAGCCTGAAGAGGTGTCCTAGAAGTTTGTGTTCAAAATAACATTTTCAAATGTAATTATTTGCATTATGCAGTATATAAACATTTTTAAAATATCATGAATAATGCTAAAAAACACTTGGAAAAAATAAACCTAATTGTAGATTTTTATTTTAGATGCTGACATTATTTTTTAAAGAAGATTGAAAAAAGTTTAKCTTCTGTAAAAACTTTCAGATTTCTTTAATTTGGGGCATTTTTTTTTCAAATGCAAACATCWAATTTTTAATTTCACTAATTGTATTCTTTGATGTGACATTTACTGCACATTAAAGCATAGTTCAGGTCTTTTAAAGCTCTGGAAAGATTATGAACAATAAACATCTTACCTGTTGTAGATAGCTCTTTAAACCAAATCAATTAAAAAAATAACTTTACTAATGACTAATTTCATAAAGTAACAATTAGGGGTTTTATGTGAATTGTGTTCTTTAARCTTTAAACTGACTGTATTTGGTGAGAAAAGAGGCAGGAATGGATGTTTGTGGTTGTGAAGGACTCTTGAGCTTAGAGGTTCCAACAGAAACCTTTACACCTTGCTGAGCCCTTCCCTCGTCACATGATCTGTTCTTCTTGTCTCATTTATAGACATTTTGTTGGGTTTGATGAGTCAGACTCGGGTGGTTTTGTTTTTCTGACTCCCGACGTGTAAAATCTCATGCTGTGAGTGATTTCACAGTCATGAGTTCAGAGCTTGGTTTGGTTTTGTGGAAACCAAACCTGTATGCAGAGGTCTGTAAGTACTTAAAAGAAATAACTAAGTAAAAGTAAAAATATCTTAACAGAAAATGACTTTGGTAAAAATAAATGTCACTGATGAGAAAACTACTTTAGTAAAAGTCATAAAGCTGTTCACAAAAATTGGGAAAAGTAGAAGTACCTTTCCACGCTCTCTAACAAATAAACGGTTAAATTTACAGAACCAAACTGGCTCCACAAAACCAAGTTGATTAAATTGGTCAGTTTCTTTAAAATAAAATATGTATATCACCTAGGGCTGTGTATTGGCAAGAATTTGGCGATACAATACATATCATGACAGGGATCACGATACGATA